GGTGTGCTTAAACAAAACTGAGTTTTGCTCATGCTTTTCTTAAGGCACTCTTGAGTTTCTGGACTTATATAACGTGATGGTTTGTTTCATGTGTCAACTTGGCTACACTATAATCTCCAGTTATTCAGTCAAACTGTAATCCAGGTGTTGCTGTGAAGGTATTTTGTAGATGTCATTCACATCCACAATCAGTTGACTTTAAGTAAATGAGATTGCTCTTGATAATGTGGGCAGACCTCAATCAATCAGTTAGTTGAAGGCCTTAAGAGCAAAACCTGTTTCCCAGAGAAGGAATTCTGCTTCAGGACTGCAGCAGTTCCCAGCCTGCCTGCTTGCCTTGTGGATTTCAGAATCAAGATTACAACATTGACTCCTCCCTGAGTTTCCAGCCTGCTGGTCTGCCCTATAAACTTCAAACTTACTAGCTGTATTAGTCAGGGTTCTCCAGAGAAACAGAACCAATATGATAGATATAGATAATCAGATAAAAAGATTTATCATGAGGCATTGGTTTATGTGATTATGGAGGCCGAGAGTTCCCACAATCTGCCACCAGCAAGCTGGAGGCCCAGGCAAGCCAATGGTGTAGTTCCAGTCCAAACTCGAAGGCCTGAGACCAGGGGAGTAAATGGTGTTAAGTCCCAGTTCAAGTCCAAAGGCCTGACGACCAGAAGTACTGATGTCTGAGGGCAAACAAAGATCGATATTCCAGCTCAAGCAGAGAGCAAATTTGCTCTTCCTGTGCCTTTTTGTTCTGATCTAGCTCTCAACAATTTGGATGATGCCCACCTGCATCAGTGAGAGTGATCTTCGAACAGTCTGATTCAAATGCTAATCTCTTCCAGAAACACTCTCGAAGACACATCCAGAAATGTTTTACCAGCTATCTAGGCATCCCTTAGTCCAGGCAAATTGACACATAAAATTAATCACCAGCCCTAAATCACATGAGCCAATTCCTTAAATCAATTACTTTCTCTCTCCCATTCGCTCTCCATATGTGCATACATGTACATAGACATATCCTGTTGGTTGTTTCTCTGGTGAACCCTCACTAGTACAACACATTAAGTTTGAAAAAGCAGCCTGGCAGAAAAGCCAGAAAGTATGCTTATGTTTGGGCTAAACCACTCCAGATGAGCCAGCTGTGCTTAGTATACTGGTAACCTCAAGTATGAAACTTTCAGATGTACAGTGGGGGGGGGGGGAATAAACCATTCTGTTACGTTACAGAAACAAACTTGTTTAGGGCTTCTCTTTTGAAATATTTTTACTGAATGAAGTCAACATAGAGAGTGAAAATGCAACCAGGTTGATAGATGAGCATAGACACTAGAGAGGGATATTTGAAGGCATGGTGTCCATGTTGAGACGGCAGCAGGAAAGTGATCACACCAGGCTGAAGCTGTGAGGACATCAGGGACCACACATTCTGGGTTTGTGGCTGGGATAGTGCACCACCAGATATTCTCACCCTCACACTGCTAACCCACTGCAAACTGGTAAGAGCAGGAGAGCCCCTTCCACTTGCAATGTAGCCGTAGCACCCTCTACAGAGAAAGCTCAACATGTGTTTACTGCAATGGAGAAATGACTAAAAGGAATCCTGTTATCTCTGAGCATATATTGAAGGTGAACTTGAGGCTAAGAGGCAACAGATAACTGGCACAATCCACCTGCTTGGTTGTTTAGCTTCCAGATGTGCCCCTTGACACACATCTGAACTCCCTTGCAGCTGGCAAAGCAACTCTCTCTATATATTTTTTTGCAACTCTTTATTTTTATCTAAAAAGATACACCAATCCTTCTTGTACGTAAAGTTCTCACTCTCACCAAAAGCCAGATGACCCAGATTCTCAAGTCATTGCCTCCTTCGTGGCATCTATTGACTATTCCTCAAATTCAGTCAGGCCCCCATTGACTATTTTATTACCTAAAGATAAGCAAAACTAACCTACAATAAATTTTGAAATAAGAAATAGAACAACAGAAAAATGAAACAGTGAGTATATGCAAATAAATGTATGCATATAATATGGAGAAATATGCAAAGCGACTATAGTCTTTGTTTCTGTAATTGGCCTCAAAGTCTGAGTTCTTCAATTACCAACTACAAATTTCTCTCGCCCTCATCTAAAAACCTCAGAAGCTTTACCTGTTATTTACCTGGTGGAGTGACTGTAACTTTCATTCCCCAAGGATCTGGGTCCTGAACCATCCTGCTTTATTTTGTTGCTGAAGATTTTCTGTTAAGTTTTACTATCAGGCATGTGCAGTATGCAGAATAATGGTTCCATCCTGTCCTTGGACATAGTGAATAAGGTGTGTTAGAAAACAAATGGGAATTAAGATTGCTAAATTAAAATAGGGAGATTATCCCCGATTGTCTTGGTGGATCCAGTCTAATCACGATGGTTCTTAAAAATGGAAGGCAGAAAAGAGAGAAGCCGAGATGGCAGTGTGAGGACTCATCTCAATATCGCTGACTTTGAAGATGGAGGAACAAGGCCATGAGCTAAGGAATGTGGGCAGCCTCTAGAAACTGGAAAAGGCAAAGAAACACAATGCGCCCTCACAGCATGCAGGATTGCTGCCTTCCTGACACCTTGGTTTTATCCCAGTGATATCAACTGTGGACTCTTGACCTCCAGGAACTGTAAGATAATAAAAGTATTTCATTCTAACCTTTTAAGTTTGTGGTAATTCATTACAGAAGCAATAGAAAATGAACACAAATTTTTTTTATCTCTATGGATTAGTTGGAAACAACCCATGCATTAGAGAACAAATTTACATCCAAAATAAATTATAGCCACTGAGTCACTGAATAATTCTTTCAAACTTTTATTTGAAATAACAATATAACATCTAAATGGTTTACAGCCACTGGTTGTACACTCAATTTCCTCACAGGACAATGATGGATTTCACTCAAGATCCTCGCTGTCATGGATACCTTTACCATCTTCCCCACCTTTCAATTTGCCCTGCATTTGGAAGTGTGATATGCAGAAGAGCAGCACGTCCAGGATGTAAACACCATACCAAAACATTTTTAATCTTTTAAACTATTGGCATCTTCATACTTTGTATTTCAAAACAGAATAACTTCACTCTTACCAAAACTCCTATTTTGATGCCTATGCAACTGGGTTCAGCGAAAACTGTTCTAGAGAGGCCAAAAGCCTGAAATTTAGAAACCAAACTGTCACTCTCTTCTTCTAAATGCAACTCCAGCCTTATCGTCCAGCTGCCGAAATACTACAGGAGCCGGACAATCTAATTGTTGTGTCTGTAACACCTTCCTCCATTACAGTGATTAATTCAATCTGGGATACTCCCTCCTATATACCTTAGCAATCTTCAGGTCCCATGAAGACCTCCTTCCAGACATACTGTGTCCTGAATAATAGAATACACAAGCTTTGGAATCTGGCTTCTTCCTTACAGGGCATTAGCTAACTTCTAAATTAGACTAAATTCCAATTCACCTCTTTAAAGGTCCCCAGGATTACGAGTATCAACAAACTTTTCGATTAATACATCTGTACTAAAATGATTCCCCATACACGGGGGTAGGGGGGGACTCGTGGTAAAGGTGGGACTGAAAATTCAATCCTCTTATATGACGTGAGAAAGGCTCTTAGTGCAAGACATTTATTCATAACAAAACACAAGGCACAATAGCTTCATAATAAAGGCTGTGTTACAGAGATGGTACATGCTTGGTATCAGAATTATTAAATCCCTGGATTATAACAGAGCTCGAACAAAATATGACCACCCCGGAATCCATGTGGCTCTCCCTAGAAGCAGACCATCTCCATACGGATTTTTTGGTGTTATATCAAATCAGTAACAGCTAAGACTTTCAAATACTACAAATCGACTTTAAAGCATGTATACTTTACTAGTTGAAGGAACAAGACCATCACGTTGTAAAGTACAGAGATGCAAAAGAAATTCCAAATTAGTCTTGTAATCTTGAATGCAGAGGATTGTTCAAGGTTTCTCTGATAAAGTCCTGGTAAAGTTCCTTTCAGGCAATGCAACTACCTCTCTGAGAAGACCAAGACGGCAAAGTGGGCTCAGACTACCAAGGGCCATCATCAGCTTGCTAGAAGAAACATGGGCCAATCTCTTGAGAGAAAGTCAACTGCTCCATCCCCAAGTGTTAAAGCCTGAGGGTATATAGCCCCTTTGGCATTGAGGAAAAGAAGTAGTGCAGCAGCCGATTTGGTGACTTGATGTGGCGGCGTTCAGTCTCATTCATATATGCCTGAGAGGGCTCAAAAGTTATCAGCCTCATTTAATGTTTGTTGCCAGGATCCCGGCAACTATTTTTTCCCACCAAATTGCTTAGTATGATCACCAGAAGTGACTTTTTAAGTGAATTTTTTACATTTTTAGTTTTTTAAAATAATTTTTATGCTTTTAATTATTATGGCTGCCTCACAATTGTTTTGCTTTTAATTAAATTCACAAAGGCAAGGCATACATGAAAATAAGAACACAAAAAATGTAATCAAAGTCTTTTACAAAATAAGCAATTGAAACGTACAACAGCAAAATATAACAATACATTTTCTGTACTACAGTAGTGGTTCTCAAAAGTTGTTAAGCAGCAGAATTGCCATCAGATTGCTACTCCCTACACCTCAAGTTTCTGAACCAGTAGATTTGCAATGGAGCACAAGATTTCACATGTCTAGGGAGTTCTCCATGCTTCTAATGCTGCTAATTTGAGGAGCACACTTTTAAAATCATTAAAACATGGAAAGCCCAATTCCAGTCTTACAGGAAAAAAGGACGCTCATCAGCCAGAGCTGTGGGATTGAGGTCCATCTGTCATGGTTAGAATGGAGATTTCTCCGTAAGTGTTTCTATTTGAACTTTGGTCCTGGGCTAATTGTCTCTGTATTTCTAGAAGAGTTTAGAGTTTTCCTTCCAAAGTGATAGTGAGGCAGTCAAGCAATTCTGTACAATGAGTCTGTTCCTTATTACTCCTGAGGGGTCTTCCCTGCCTCATTGCTATGAAGCTGAGAGTTCTCTGCCATTTTCAACAGCTCTTCAAAAATCTCGTTATGCATGTAAAAGAAGATGTACCCGGTACAAAGCCTCGCCTCCTGCATCAGGACCTCTTGGATATCTGACACCTCCGTATCATTGTAAGTGAACCAGGCCTGCCTCTCAAAGTCATAGGCATCGCTGATATAATGGCCTGATTTTGGGGTTGTACCAATATGGTTGATAATACCAATGAGCCGATAGGTAGGAAGATCTTCCTTATCAGCATTTCTTTTTGGTTCCTTGGCTTCAGACACTGTCTTCTTATCTAAAATGTCTTTGTTTCCAGAGTTCTTTTTAGAACTCAATGCACACTGGTACTTCACATTATCCTCCTGGAGATTTAATTTCCTGGGTCTTCTGCAGTTCTTTTTGTGTCCCTGGGCATCTGGTTTAGGAAGGCTTTGAGGCAGTGCCTGCTGAGAGGCTTTTTCACAGATTCTCATCCCATAACACTGCTGGGTCTGTTCAGCCACTTCTCGGGATCCTTCCGGAATTCTGATTTTTTCATTTTGATAAAAATTTTCAGTAGGCTTAGTGACCTTATCAAAGGCTACACACATACTGGTTTTCTTGTATTTCTTTAGCTTTGGATTTTCAGGAACTTCTCGATGATGAACTTTTGCAACACGTTTGTCTGTGCTGCGGGTGAATTTACCTCCATCTCTGTGGATCAGAGAAACGGAGGTGTCTTCTAGATACATCATTGAGCCAACTAATACCTCTTTTTCAATGAGTGCCTTATCTCCTGAGTATAACAATTTTGACTGTGTTATATTCAGTTTAGAATTTTCCCCCAGGTCTTTTTGCTGTTGTTTTCTGCTTGTCCCTTTAAAGACTCTCTGGTATTTTTGTGGTTCTGACTCCTTGTCTGATCTAATGTGTAGTGCCAGGGAATTCTTGGATTCCAAGGTCAACTTAATTGACTGTCTTAATGAGCTGATGGTTCTAGAATTCATGTTTTGAAAAAATTTTAATACTTGCAAATCCCTAATACGTGCTTTCTTGCTCGGGGGAAGAGGTGGTTTAGTGCTTTTGTTGCAATGAGAAGACAAATTTAAATATTTGGAAACAATGACTTTCTGGTCATCCTTTCTTAAGGACCAGGACTCATTAAACCTATAACGTTGCAGATGAACAATAAGGACTCTGGGTAGCCTACTGAATTTGTGCGCTGCAACAGAAGTCTTGTGCTTACAATTCTCGCAATTATACTCGAGCTCTTCTGCTTCAAAGAAAAGATCAAAAGTAGATTGAATAGACAAAGGAAGTGCTTTCGGCCCTTGGGGAAGGTTGACAGAGAGATAATTGCTCAGTTCTGTCTTGAGAACAACCTGACCACAAGCTTTACAAACAATAGAGCGCAACAACTCAAACTCAAAATTACTGATGACAGGACAAACAAGCACTCCAGTGGCAGCATCACCAGCACAAACCTGTTGAGGTGAATTTTCTTCCTCAGATTCACTTTTAGTCTTCAAAATTGTGTTTATTTTTCCTGAGTTCTCTTTCAGCTCATCTAAACAATGACCTAAAAACTCATGAGCATCATTCTGTACGTTGCCAGAGAATATCTCTGCAACTGCTGAGATGGCTTTTTTAACATTCACAAGTAACTTCTCCTTGATTTTTATGTTATAAATATCTTTCAATATAAGCAGCTGTGCCAAGCACATGCTAAGAGCACTGAGGGGCATTTTACCCCATGGGAAACCCTGGTTAAGTAAATCATCAGCAAATGATGGAATTGAAAATAGACACTGTAAAGCTGCATTCATATAACAGGTGTTTCCCAAATTGGGGAGGCCTTGCCATAGTTTATCTGGGTTTAAGCCAAGCGACAACCTGAATTCATCCCACTCTAGGCCATACTCATGATCTGCTTCCAAAACAAATGCCAAAAATATTTTCTCAGCGAGAGTTTGGAGACCAGTGGAATCTAGGTAAGGGTTTCCAGTAGAGTTGGTCATAAATAAAGATTTAAATTCCAATTTCTTATTCTCTTTTAACTTCTTTAACTTGAATTGTTTCTTCCGATCGTGGCTTACAGACTTCGAGGGATTCGTCTTGGATTTCTTCTTTCTTAGGGAGTTTTCTTTCAGGAAGTTCTCATTCACCTCTGAACTAGACAATATCATTTGTTTCTTCTTCCTATGTAGATTCTCTAATAACCCTTTGGGAACAGGCGTTGATTTTGATGTAAAAACAGGTATCTTCTGAAAAGCAGGTGTTTCACTACCTTTTCCTGTCTCATAAGATCCACCTCTTGATTTCTTATTAACTTTGTGAAATGAAGTTTGGTGGATTTTCTTCTGTGTTGTTGTGCTGGCAAAGATACCCTTATGCTTATGAGGTCTCGCACATGGTTGACTCTTGTTTTTATGGACTCTGTCCAGGAGTCTCTTCAACTGTTCAGCATCTGTAGAGGATAATCTTTCAATAAACATGAAGTTATTATTTTGGAAAGTTAAATGCACATGATTTCCTTTTTTTCCATAGGATCTAAGGACCACATTTTTAATATTATTACTTAGCTGAAAAGTTTTAAGTTCTCCATTGTTGTAATAAAGAACCAGTCTAAACAACTTCTTTCCTTTCACTGTTTCAATGAATGCTTCTTTTGACCTAGACATCCCAGTCTTCGTGCTCCATATTTGGACATAACCATGTACAATTAAGGCAGCCATGCTTCTTTTTAACAAATAAAACACGTGTATCCTGGATTATTGACAATTTTGAAGTTCCAAATTGTCTTGCAATTTCACCTGCGGAGACAACACCAAAGAAATGGTTCTTTAGTTTTGTATACAGAATAATCCTGTTTCTAGTATTGATTTATACTAGAATACTAGTATGCTAGTATTATACTAGTATTCTAGTATTTATACTAGTATTCTACAATCTCTTCAGGTTCTCGATATCCAGCTCTTTAGTGACAAGACTTGTAAACTAAAAATAAAATCCTAAGCCCCTCGCCAACTGAATGATCCCTTCTTGGCCAAGGGGACCCCAGGAAAACCTTAAAACTGAGTTCCTGGTCATGAAGGGAAGGGAGATCAGAAATGCCTCATTATACCCCCTCTCTCCTTTTTAGTGTTCAAACACAATTTACCAGCATTAATGTTGAAACAGATCATAAGACAGACAAAACAGACTCTTTGTGACGATATGATACTAAATTATTATGAAAACCTAAGACCAGGCAGGGCAAAGTTTAAATCACCTGCAGGCCACCAATTTGCTTAACACATAGCTTGAGTTGGTATATTTTGAATGGTCTCTGACTAACAGATTTCCTTATCTTAACTTAAACCATTCCAAGCCTTTAAACAAAGCTTTCTTTAACCAATTACAAATCAAAGAATCTTTAAACCCACCTATAACCTGTAAGCCCCACTTCAACATGTCCTGCCTTTTGGGGCCAAACCAATGTACACCTTCCATGTATTGATTTCTGATTTTACCCCCAATTCCTGTTTCCCTAAAGCGAATGTATAAAATCAAACTGTAACTCGACTGCCTTGACACCACTTGCTCAAGATTTCTTGGGTGTGGCTCTGTGGGCCATGGTCACACACACTGGCTCGGAATAAACCTCTTTAAATTATTTTACAGAGTTTGGTGGGGTTTTTTTTCTATTAACAGATCAATGTCTTTTGAGAGCCTCCCATGGTTGCATGAAGGCAGAAATCTTGATTGGCAAAGCAAGGTCACTACAGGAAAAATCAAGAAAGCTATTTAACTACATGTTCTCACTTGTAAGTGGGAGCTAAACAATGGATATACATGGTCGTATACAGTGTCTTAATTGACAGTGGAGACTCAGAAGGGGGAAGAAAGATGGGGATGAGGGATGAAATACTGGGTACAATGTACACTAGTCAGGTGATGGGTAAATTAAAAACTTAGACTCCAGTATGCAATTCATCCATGTAACAATAATCCACTTGTACTCCCCTAAATCCACTTAAATAAAAAATGAAAAAAGAAAGTATATGTGCTAACATTAAAAAAATTACTTAATAATAAAAATGCTTGGATAAAACTCAAAATGTACACCCATACACTAAATCCACCCCAATATCAGATTCCATTCTGATTAATTTCCCCACTTCAATTGAAATTATGAGACATTTGGAAGACTTTCAATAAATAACTGAAAAGCATACTCAGTAGGGTCTTAAGAGTATGCATACAATCTGCTAATCTTCCTGTCACAGAATAACCCCTACAGGGCAACCACTATAAGTGAGTAAGAAAGTAGAGGCTCTGTGTGGCCCTCAACCCAGGAACCGATGAATATCCCTTGATGTCTAGACGACTTCGTACATGGACCACTCAAAGTAAATCAATCTAACTTCTTCCAAATCTAGTTATGCCCCTATATTTCACTTGGCACTTAGGGAACATCAATTTATTCTACCTCTTATTAACAAAAGTTGAAGTATAAGAATGAGAACTTCTTACCCATCAGATATAAATTAGTGAAGCTCCTATGGCCAACTCTGGCCACAAGGCCCACTTAACCTGAGCTAGCTCCCTGTATTCAAACCAGTGGAGAATGATCAGATGTACTTAATCACTGAAAATTAGAAATTTCCGAATAACTCTGGGGCAAATCTGAATTCATTAATAAGTTATCAGCACTGCAAATGTTTGTAAAACAAAGTGTATGACCAAGAATCGACTGGAAATTGTTTTCTCCTGAATAGTTAAATATTGTTCCTGAATCTTGTCTATGATATTAACTTGCTTAGCAAACCCTGTATTTATGGGTAATACTAAAGGAAACTTTTGCTCAGTCCCTGTTCAAATTATCAAAACCTCAAAATTGGTGCAGCATAAATTTAAATAGATTTTTGTTTTATAAAGTATTTCATCTATCAACCTATGTTCAGTGAAGTAGGAATTGCACCCATCCATATACAAAAGTGCCTATATATCCCAGTAAGAAAGATTTGTATTTATCATGGTAGAAATAGGGCCATACAAACATCCAAGTACAGCAGAAAATTCAAGTTTTCTGGATTTATAGCTCACTGTCCTACTGTAGATGCTAAGTAAGGATTTAAATGATTTCCTTTCCATAAAAAAAGACAAAGTCTTAATTGTTCCTTATTTCAACAACTTGTAAGAACCTTGCAACCCCAAAACAACTTCGAGTCTGCATTCAAAAATTTTTGTAATCCCAGCTCATCTATATTTATTAAAACTTGTTGTCTCTTCTTTCTAATGATAGCTGACATAATCTAAGACCCTCTTGGCATTACCTCTCTCTGCCCTCAAAAATGTAGTTAAGAGACATGTGTTTACAAAATCTCTCCATTCATCATTCCTTCCTCACAGTCCAACCTGCTTACATTTCATTCCGGAATAAAGGAAACTTATTTTGAGCCCACTGGACATGCAAAGTGAAGATTAAGAACCATCCTGCTAATGTACAGCTGAGTGGTCTAACCACTGCCTACTCTCCTAGCACATCTAAAGCTTAAACCCCCTTCTTCATTCTGCCCCATCATTCAAGACATTTTAAGCCTTCTTTGATTGTTTTTAGAAGATTTTAAGTTAACATGTATTGGTTCTTCAAGACTCCACTGAACAGCCTATTCAGCGACTATTCTATGCAGCCTAAAATAAACTTCAACAGTAGTGGCATTCCTCCTCCCTTGTCACCTCCACATCAGATTGAAAACATGGATAACAGCCACATTCAAAAGTTATACAGGCCAACATGCTTTCCTCTCAATTTCACCTACAAACTCAATCCATTAAATTTGACTGATCAACCACTAGTGCAATACTCTGGGCTAGTCGAAGATCTCAAAGCATAGCTAGACACTCACAGAACAGCACCACGCCTGTCAGATTTAGAGGTATGACCTATGGTGCCAAGAAGTTCGCTGTAGAGTTAAAAAAAAAAAAACAACCCTAGTCAAAGTGTCTGCCTTATTGTTAATTTAATAACTGACTGTACATTGATCTTCTCGGTAACGGAGATATTTGCTAAGCATGTGCTCTATGCTGCATTTTATGATTTGCTGAGGGTCTATTCAATGTTGAGTATTGCAGCCATTGCTCTCAGGGACACAGAGGATGTGAGCATTCACTGTACCTAAATGATTTAGACTCTAAACATCACTGTGTAAATATCACAATACAAGTGGGGTTTAATTCTAGTGGGGACAAAGGATCTTGGAAAATATCCTTTCAATACCATTTTCTGGGGCTTGACATACCAGGGTGGGAGCAGTGTTTGTAAAAGAGAGAGGATCTCCTGGAGTATCAAGTGTTAGGCCCTATCTCAACTTCCCAAATTGCACGGCTTAGCCTCATCCTTTGCAAAGAAAGTGAGAAAACTGGCCCTTAGAATGTCTGCAAGCCCAAGAACCTAGAAGTCTAGGTTATTAATTCCACATTAAGATACGGTAGTCCCCCTCTTTATATGTGGTTTCATTTTCCACAGTTGTAGATACCCATGGTCACAACCACAGTCAAAAAATATTACATGGAAAATTCCAGAAATAAACAATTGGAAAGTTTGAAGTAAATTCTGAATAGTGTGATGAAATCTAATGCTGTCCCACCCCATCCCACCTGAATCATCCCTTTGTCAAGCTATCTACACTACCTGCCCACTGGTCACTCAGTAGCTGAGTAGCTAGCTGTCTCAGTTATCAGATCTACTGTCTCGCAGTACTTGTGTTCAAGTAACCCTTCTTTTCCTTAATAATGGCCCCAAAGAGCAAGAATAGCGATTCTGGCAATTCGGATATGCCAAAGACAAGCCATGAAGTGCTTCCTTTAAGTTAAAAGGTGAAAGTTTTCAATTTAAAAAAGGAAAGAAAAAAATTCTATGCTCAGGTTGCTAAGTTCTACAGTAAGAATGAATCTTCTTTCCATGAAATTGTGAAGGAAAAAGAAATATGTGCTAGTTTTCCTGACACACTTCAAAATGCAAAAGTTACGGCTACAGTGCATGGTAAGTACTTAGTTAGGATGGAAAAGGAATTGTATTTCTGGGTGGAAGATATGAACAGAGAAACATGTCCCAATTGACAGCAGTGGGGTTCAGTACTATCTGAGGTATCAGGCATCCAGTGAGGATCTTGGAATGTATTTCCCGTAGATAAGGAGGGCACTACTATAATTTAATGAAGACTTTTGCTGCTTTTGGAGTATTTACCCTCTGTATCCTGCATTTATATCTCCCACTACTCAGGCTTTACTTCAAGAGGAAGAAAAACTTTTAATGATTACACACCTTTCAAATTTGAATATGCATTTCTCAATCCCAAACTGTTCATTACAAAAGAATAATATAAAAAAGAAAATTACTTTATTTCAAGCATTTTGGTTAAACAGATGATACTTTAAGAAGACAACCATTTGTTTTGGAAAGTTTAGAGAGAGCTATAGCCTGGAGGCAGATTAATAAACTCTAGATGGCCCTGTAGGCTAAACGACTATGAGAAAGTAACATGTCTATGTCAATTCTCTTCTGCTGACATTAGGACAACTGTGATCAGCTATAATAAAATCAAGTATGTGTTTATCTCATTGAACAGGTGAACGTCAAGTTATGTGGTGGTGTGGTACAAGTGGTGAGTTTAAATTATTTTATTTCACAACTTCTTGAAAACATGTGAAGTAAGAAAACAAAGACATACCTAGAAATCTTGCTCAGTTA